GACAAGGAAGATGCCCAGCAGAGGCCTTCAGCCCTGAGGTGAGACATCCACATTCCCTGGACTTTATAAGACTTGCCTCTTCCTTAGCAAGGGGGCCAGGTGTGACCAGACCTGCTCCTGGCTTTGGGTTTCTCTTGGCACAGGCACTAGCCAGCACTTCTGCCTTTCCCACACCTGTCCCATAGGTGTGTGCTGGGTGGCCAGCAGCGACCATGGATGCACAGCACCACTGCTCCTGCTCCCCTACATCCCAGAATTTCCTGCACCTCATACGGCCCTGCCTCCCCCAGCCCAGAGCTGCCTGCCCTTCCTGGGGGTTCCCCTGTCCCCCCAGCTGCTCATGTCCATCCCCAGGCACGGGAGGGGGCCAGGACTGCAGCCCATCCCCACCTGGCCCCAGCAGCTGCCCCAGCAGCTGGGCTGGGCTCTGGCATCTCCCCTTTGGCCAAGCTTCACTCTGCCCCGGGCCCACGACTGCAGGAATGTCATTCCCGTGGGCACAAGGGGCCTTTGTGTGAGCAGGGACGGGGTGTGGGGGCCCAGCCCAGCATCTCAAGCTGGGGCTGGGGACAGGCACAGCTGAGGGCTCGTGGGTGGGCAGCAGCTGACTCCAGCATGGCCCCACAGCTCCCAGCCAGGCACAGTGCTGTCCCCACTGTTGCAAGGGGTGTCAGGGAAGAAAGCCCTCTTCTCATCCTCCCTGTCCCTCCGGCACCAGCAGCATCCTGCAGTCACCGCTGCCTCAGCACCAGTACAGAGCCTTAGTACCTGTGCCACTAGATGCTAAGGTCTCAGCCACCCCACAAGGGGAGCAGGAGGGCTGGGACTTGGGGCCAGGAGCGCCAGCCAGCAGCTGCTGGATTCGGCCGTTTTCAACAGCTGCCGTCTCAGCGCCAGCAGCAGGGAATGTGCCTGGGCTGGGGCTTTCCAAGGCCTGGCCACAGTGCATTAAACAACCTATTTATAGCATTTGTGTACCTCCTCAGCAGGAATGGCCTGTGCCCCACCTGCACAGGGCTGGGTGCTTGGGCGCCACCACTGTCCCCACCACCAGGACAGTGATCCAGGATCCTTGCCAGAAGGGTGAGGTTTCCTAAAACAAAATATTCTTGGCCTTCCTGACTCTCATCTTCCTCCTCTGCCACTTCTGAGAGCTCCCAGTACTGCCCAGAGCAAGACTTGCACCAAACCTCATACATCTATTGGAGATGCCCTTCTTCCCATGATCCCTGCTGAATCCTTTGGAGATTTTATCAATCAGCCTGTGCTGATGGTTGCTCTGTCCCCTGCCTCCAAGATGGCATGAGGGTCTAGCCCTCCCACAGAGCAGAGGTGCTGTTCTGGGAGCAGGCTGAGTGCTGGCAGGTCGCTCCTGGGGTGGCCTGTGCCAGACTGGCTGTTGTGTGATGAGGCACAGGACTGCTCAGAAGACATTCCCTCCACAGAAGGGAGTTGTACTAGGAGGTAGCACAGCCTTCTCCTGCCCAGATGCTGGCCCAGCACACACCCATGACCCCCCAGCCATGCCTCCTCTGAGGTAGTGTCCCAATGGGTCCATCCTCTCCCAGAGGAAATGGACATGGAGCTGGCTGGCTCCAACCCCCGGATCTGCCCAGAAGATGTGTGGGCTGTGAGCTCACCCAGGCTCAGCAGCAAGAAGGAAGGGGCTGGGCTTTGGACAAGCTGAATTCTCAGGGCTTTGGGATGGCAGGGAGGAGAAGACAAGAGGACAGCTCTGTGCAGTCCTGCCAGCACCACAGGCTTAACCAGAAGCCCACATCCTCCTCGTGCTGCCCAGGGGAATCTCCTGCTCCTTCTTCCCTGATGTCAGCTGTTAACTGCTCATCTGTGAGAAATAAGTACTATGGAGGGGTATACAGTCCCTGTTTAGGCTCAGGAAGTGGGTCTCAGCCCTTCCCATCAGTTAATAGGGTATACAATAAAGAAAACGGGTGCCTGAAAGGAAGCAGTCTTGACACGTACCCAGCCAAACATAAGCCAACCATTTAGTGAGGAATTTTGAGTATCCTGATGAAGAGGGATGAAACATAGACCAGCAAAAAGTGTTGGGAGACAGAGCAGTGATTGCAGGACCAGAAAGTCCTCCATGGATCAGAGAAGTTGCAGCAAGGCTCTAGGTGCTTTGGCCTAGAAAACACACAGACAGGACTCTGCTGCCCTAAATCTTTGGTTTCAAAGTAGATACTGTTGCGATTTTGTTTTCTTTCAAGGTTGCATTCTCTTCCCAGCTGTGGGCTCTACTGGACAGAAGATGAAGTTTACATCCCTTCATCTCTCTGGGCTGTACTTTTGCCCAGTTGGACCCACACCTTCCAGATGGGGAAAGCGGCTCGGAAAGATCTCTGAATTTTTGGCAAGGGACAAAAACCTGCCTTTCTATGAGTCCCAAGAGCTTGGCAACTAAGCACTGCCCCACCTTCTTCTCAGTGCTGGGATGTTGCAAGCATCTGGCTCTCAAAGCAGGGTGAGAGCCTTCTGCACTCCCTCCCTGGCAAGGAACAGGTTTCTGCAGAGGCCACACACTACAGCCCCTTTGTTCCCAAAGAATTTCCCATCCACTCCCTTGTGTATCTATCTCAGCAACATTACACTCAGATACAACCTAACACTCAGAGGCAATGCTCCCAGGAACGTGTTGCAGCATCTCTGCACCTGATAAACACCTCCCTTTCCCCGTGGGACTGGAGGACAGGATTCCTCCAGTAGGGATGGCAGGAAGATCAGTTCCCTCAGCCCAGGCAGGGCTTTTCCTAGGAAAAGGCTCCCTGGGGAATAAGACGTCCACTCTCCTCTGTTACTGTCATCACTTAACACTGACCTGGGGTGCTGCATTTTCATCCCAGTGGTCCCCAGCCTGCTCAGAGTGCTGCAAGTGCCCTCTGCACAAGGAGAGGATATTCCCAGTGGAGCTACACTGGGGAAATCAAGGCACTAAGCGAGGCTGATCCAGCATTGGCTGCAGCACAGCGAACCCAGGAGTCACCAGAGCAGGCCAAGCAATGCACCTGGTGTCTCCCTGATGAAGGGGAGATGCTCCCTCCTGGGGGAACACAAACCCTGACAGAGCTGCAGCAAAGCTTTGGCTTCTGCTTCCTTTCTGGGAGCTCTTCCTGCTCCTGGCATGGCGGCCAGCACGGAGCCCTGAGCCTGTGCCATGGCCTCTAGGCACAGCAGCCCACCCCGAGCCCGCGAGCCTCAGGCCAGTCCCACGGGGCTGACGTCAGCCCCGCTCCTTGAAGCTCTGGGGCCATCGGGGAGCTGTTTCTGCTTTCAGCACATGGTGTCCCAGCCTGCTTTCCTCATCCATGGCTGGCTCCCTGGGAAGAATCCATGGGGCTGGGAAAGGTCACCCTGGCTGAGCTAACCACCCTTGGATGGGACTTACTGGGCAAGGGACAGCTTACAGCAGGCAGGCAGGGAAATGGAACAGTGGTTTTTGGTCCCTCGTGTCTGTTCATTCTCCTAAATTCTTCTTGAGCTAGAGCCAAAAGTAGGGCCCTGGCAGGGTTTTGGAAGGAAACAAGGGGAGGAAATGAAAACAGACATCCACTAGGAACAAAACAAAGGTCCGGCAGAGGAGGGAAGTGGAAGGGCACAGACATGACCATGGACCTTCCTGCCTGCACTCTCACTCTGGCTAACTTGTGCTCCCCTGGCTGCTTGCCCCAAGCTAGCTCAGCTTGGGAACACTGGAACACAGCTGGAAAGTGCAGGACATATGTTACTATCCTGCTCTTGAACCACTCATGGAGCCAAATTAAAGCCCTTTCTCAGGGCAGTACCCAACTGCTCCTCAGTACATTGTGCCTTGGGCCATCCCTTGCCTACTCTCCTTGTTGGCTCACCTGGCCTGCATTCCTGGCCCTTATAGGAGCAGGTGACAATTGCTGGCACTGGCAGGGAATGACAGGCGGGCATATTTTGGACTCAGCTGTCTGCTCAAGGGCTATGGCAAAGCCTTGCAGTGAAACAGAACCCCACCCTGCCAGCCCACATTTCTGTAGTGGGCAGATGTTGATCGTCTCTTGCCCCCCTTGTCTCCCCTACACTGCCACCCCGACAAATGGGGCCTCGGCTGTGAAGCAGTATCACTTTCAGGGAGTGTGTGTCGGGCCGGGGAGGAGGGGGCATTTAAATGAACAGCTGGGGGTTTTTTTGCTGTCCCTTGCACTGGAGCTGTTCCTGCCATTTGGGCTGGTGGCAGGTTCACGCTGGGGAAGCCGAGCAGTCCAGGCTGCTCCGGGAGAACGAGCTGAGTGGTGTCCCGGAGCAGCAAGGCTCCCAAAGAGGGTAAGAGCGACCCGGGCAAGAGGCGGGAAAGAGCCCCATCCAGCGCTTCTCCCGCGGGCCTGCCCCAGGCAGCCCCTGCTCTCAGGGGCGTGCGGACCCCCAACTTCCCGCTCAGCTCAGACGTCCCACAACGTGAGGAGCTGCCGGACGCCCCCGCTCCCGCAGGTCGGCCGGGGCTGTGCCGCTGTGCCCGCAGGCTCGGGGGCAGCATGCCCGCCCCTCCGCTGGCCGCCCCGCTGCTGCGCGCCCTGCTCGCCCGCCTGCTGCCGCTGGCCCGCCGGCGCCTGCTGCCGCCGCTCCGCCGCCTGGGGCGCCGCCTGCGCTCCCCGGAGAGCCGCCAGGCCCTGCTCACCTGCCTGCTCTGCCTCCTCAACCTGCGCAAGAAGGCGGACGACTGAAGCCGGCCGGCCGCGGGCAGGGCCGGGACGGGACGGACCCGGCAGGGCGCGGCGGCTCCTCCCGCCCGCCCGGCCCGCCGCGGGAGGAGGGACCGGGCAGGGGAGGGGACGCGCCCCGGCGGGGGCGGAGGGCCCGCCCAGGCAGCCGAGGCCGGACGGCTGCCCGCGCCTCGCCGCTCCGGCCATGGTGGCTGGGCCCCCCCCCGCCCCGCTGTCCCCCGCCGCGGGGCCGCCCCGCCGCTGAGCGCCCCCGCCCGCCCCGGGCACGGAGCCGGCGCTGCCCGGGCCATCTCCATCACCCGCTCTCCCGGGCGGCGGCGGCCCCACACGGCCGCTTCACCCCACGGTGCCCGGGCCGGGACCCCCAGTGCCCGCAGCGGGCAGCGGGGAGGGTCAGGATGTCGGGCAGCACGGCGAGGAAGGTGCAGCCCTTCACCATCAGCACCCGGCTCTCGCTGCCCAAGTGCGCCGCGGACTTCCCCGGAGACGCCTGCCCCGGCATCGCCCTCGCCTCGGCGCTGGACAGCCACCGCGGCCTCCGCCGCAGCATCAACGAGCGCATCTCCCTCTACCTGGCCCACGCCCGGGCCGGCCCCGCCGCCGCCGCGGGGCAGCCCCGCAGCCCCAGCCCCGGGCAGGACGGGGGCCCCGACGAGGAGCGGCTGAACCGCAGCTCCCTAGCCCGCTCCATTAAGAAGATCACGCTGTCCAACTGGTACGGGGACGCTGGCACGGCAGAAGCAGGGGGACACGGGGACCCTGCCCGCGCCGGCGGCGAGAGGAACCACAACAACAACAACAGCAGGACAGGGAAAGCTCAGTTCAAGGTAAGCGACCCCGGTACCCTGTGCCCTGCTCTCGCCCCGTCTTCCCTGCAATTCCCCATTCCTCGCTGCCAGGGGATGGATAGGTCCCGGGGAGGCTGCGCCCATCCCTGTTGCCTTTTGCCCGTGCCGTCCAGGCAGCAGTGTTTGCAGGGCTCCTGGGGTAGTTGTTTTTCCTGCCATGTGCCCTCCCCACGCACTTCTCTGTCCCATCAGGCTGGAGGGCAGGAAGTCTTCGCGGGTGAGCGAGATGAGCTTTCCCCGGGGCTGAGATGAGCCGGGAAAGCCCTGCCCCAGAGCCTGGCTATGGAGGGCTCAGCTTTGGAGATGCCTGTGGTGATGCAGCTGAGTGCGGGGAGCTGGGAACTCACTCTCTCGTTCACCAGAGGGGAAACGGAGGCTGGGAGAAGGGAAGTGACTCATGAAGAGCCACACAGCCAGGCAAAGCTGGGACAAGGCTAGGATCAGGACCTAGGGCTCTCGGCACCCCGCCCTCCAAGTCTGGGCGCTGGCAGGCACAGAGGTGCGAATTCAACAGTACCAGAGCCCAGGAGACCCCCTGTGGGTGGGATGGGGAGGAGGGCATCTCGGAGACGTCGCAGTTTCTGGCAAAGGCAGGCAGGAACTCCTTGGGATTTAACCCTGACCTGCAGCAGCTGGTTTCCCGGCAGGATAGTGCTGGGGAGAGCCGCGCAGCCCACTGCCAAAGCCCTCATCTTCATTGCCAATAAAGGCCAGGCACAGCCTCGCAAGAGGTGCCGCTTCCTCCGGCACGCAGTCAGCTCCTCGCCGGGCGGCGGAGCCTGCGCAGCCCGGAGGGCATCGGCGTGAGGGCTCCCCTCTGTCAAATAAGGCAGGGACACGTGCTGGCCACGGTGGTGCGGGACTCCCGGGACCCTGCCAGGATCGGCCCCTCCCCCCTGTCCATGAGCGTGTGGAGCGGAGAGAGGTGGGCAGGCTGCAAGATGGAGCTGCCTGGGAGAAAGAGGGAGCTGGGGGGCAGGGGAAAACGTGTGGGATGGCAGCTGGAGGAGAGGAGGGACACCATCTCCCACACAGAGCACGGCAATGCTTTCCCAAGCGTACCCCGCAGCCCATGGATTTGCCCCTCCCTCCTGCCCCGTAGGAATGAGGGGCTCCTCCGGGATGAGCACAGTGGAGGGTCTGGCCCCGGCTCCTCTTGTTCGTGGGAAGTCACTGGTGCCCGTTCTGTGGGAATGCGGCAAGCATATGTGCCGTGTTAATTTTGCTTTTCGAGGGGGAAGAAGTGTTTGCAGAGGCGGCAGCTGAGGCTGCTGTGCTCGTTTCACGTGTGGCTTTGCTCGTGTCACCGAGCCTGGTGTCCTGCTAGGGAATGTTTAGCACAGCACCTCATGGATGGCAGGAGGCAGGCTCAGCTCCTTGTCCCGGACTTTGGTTGCTGAGGAAGTTTGTTGTTTTGCCGGATCGAGGACCCAGCTCCAGCCAGAGGGACCGAGAAGGGGGGGTAGTCCCGGTGGAGCAGCTCTGCGGGAAGGATGAAGTCATCGTTGTGCTGGCAGCCCTGTTTTCCTGCGGCTGACGGATCGTGAGACAGGGACTTTAAATAAAGCTCCCGTGTCACCTGCAGGCTTGTCTCCCACGCTGAGCCCTGGGGGCCAGCCTGAGACATTACTGCATAGAGCTTTCTAGGGTCTTATGCCTCACAGGCACTTCACATTTAGCTCCCTATCATTCCCTAAATATGCATCCAAACCTCTCAGGCCCATAGTCAGGCAAGGAGGTGCCTTCTTCTTCTGATACCATCCTGCTGAGTTCTCACTGTGGCAGCTGGGCTGTGATTCAGCCTTGTACCCTGACTGTTCTTCCTGCTTGGGATGGGATGCTGTGGCATGTGGCAGTGGTCTGTCCTCTGCAGCCATGGGCCAAGTTTTGCAGGTCCTTGGAAAGGTCCAGTGGTGCTGTTCTCCTGCCGGACTGTTTGTAGGGCTCTGAGAGTTTTTGGTGGCAGCAGCTCTATGCTCTAGGCTGCCATTCATGTCAGGACTCTTCTGCAGTGCTGAAGAGATGGTGGGAAGCAATGTTCTATTTAGGAAAGGAGTTCTGATTTTCCTAGGTTCGTTTCCCTTGGTCAGTGTCCTCAGTTTGGAGTGGCCTGAGCAGCAGTAGGCTGGCTCTGGCTGATCCAGCACCCTGTTTGCAGCGATCTCAGAGGAGGGGTTGTCAGGGCAGCACACATTGTCCACCACCCTGTTTCTGTTGCCCTGTGCCTGCTTGGATGGCTGTTACAGAGACAGCAAGGTGGCCCCAGGAAAGGAGTGGAAGGAGTTCCCTAAGTTAGCCTGTTATATCCAACAGCCCAAGAAAAGATCCATCTGTAGAGGATGAGGCTTAATGCCCTTGGGCACGATCCAAACAATCCCACGCACCTCTCCTCCTGGGGCTGTGCTGCATCCAGGATAAGGTAATGTGGAGTTCATCCTGGACATCCTCTCTGTGCCTGGCTGCAGTTCCTGGACTTCCTTCCTCCTGCCTCTCCTGCTTCCACCCTCACCCCTGTCCTTTGGAAGCCCTTCCCTGCAAGCCAGCTGCCCCCTTAACTCATCTCCCAGCTAGGCTGAGATCAGGGATCAGCAGCTGAGAGGATTCAAGCTCATGATTTTGGAGCTAATATCATCCTGTGCCCTCATGCCTCTGCCCTGCTGTTCTGGAAGAGGGCAGGGGAGTCTCACTCTGAACATCCTTAGATGACCAGGGACCAGTGGTGATCACCAAATGGGTTTCTGCTGGCTTTGGAGTCAATTCAAGGAGAGAAAAGGGTGTTGGGGGCACTGGGAGCTAAAATGTAGAAGGCAGTGAGCAAAGCAGGCTTAGGAGTTCTTGCCACTTGCTGTACATGTGGTAGGAGCTGTGGATGCTGTTCAGAGAAGCCTGGTAAGAAGAAGATGTGTAAGAAGGGATGGGCAAGAGCAGAGCCAAGCAGCATCTGGCCCAGGGCAGGGGGGTGGGTGAGTGATCCTCTGTCCCTTTGGCTGCCAGCACAGTACCAGGCTCACAGCTGTGCCTTCCTGCCTCCAGGTGTTCCTCAGGAAGGATGTGGATGCAGAGGACAAGCAGCAGGAGCCTGGGAGTGTTCAGGCCAGTGTTTTCTGCTCTCCAGTGGACAGATGTTCTCCCTTGTATGTGGTATGTGCCCCTGCCCTCGACATTAGGGGGGCATGACATGCAGCTTGGAGCTGAGCATGAGGCTGGTCACTGGTGGTGTGCCCAGGTGTGGATGGAGCCTTGCCTCTTGCAGTGAGTGCAGGAACAAGCTGGGCACGGTGGGGCCAGGAATCAGCCCCCCAGGCAGCGCCCAGGGGTTTTACTGCTTCCAAGGGAGCCAGATTATGGGCTCCTCAGCCATGGCTGAGTCAAGAGACTAAAGGTCATGGAGTCATAGGAGGGCCTGAGAATCTGTGTTGCTATTAAAAAAATTAAAAAAAAAAATAAAGACAGAGGATTTCTGTAGTTCTTGTGGTTAAGTAGAACAGGCATTGGAAAGTGAGTCCCGTGCTGTCAGCAGGGCAGCACATGCCAGAGTGCTTAGAGAGCCTGAAACAGTTGCCCAAACCCCACTGCTCCACAGGCTCCTGGAAAATTGCTCCCTGGTGGGCTCGGGGGCAGCTAAAACCCTGTGGGGCAGCTCACACTCAGTCCTCTCAAGGAGGAAGGGCTGTTCCAGGCTAGCCCCAGGAGCAATTTTTGCCTGCTGAGAGGAGGCAGCAAGCCTTGCACCTTTGGGTTCCTCCTGAAAATTCTGTTTCCTGTTTGCCATGAGTTAGTACACAGTCAGATCCCCATCCCTGGGCAGAAGGGTGGGAAGTAAGTGCCCGGGTGATGGTGCTGTCCCCTGGGCAGCGTGCAGCTGGGCCCAGGGCTGAGTTTGGAAAAGGGCCAGCACTTTCATTGGCTGACCTTTGCTATCACCCCTGGCAGAGCTGGAACCCTGACAGAGGGTTTCATCAGCTTTGGCTGCCCACAAGGCTAAATCTCAAGGGAGATGCTGCACTTTCAGCCCCCTCCAACCACTCACCAGGGATGGGGGTCTTGGGTGCCACCAAGGAGGCTAGGGCTTGCCAGGAACCTGCCTTGTGGCCCTCCATCCCATCCCCTGGCAGCATCCCCCTGCGTGACACCAAAGAGACACAAATGCTCCTCGCAGGGATGCACTGCCTGAGGCTGGAGGGGCAGCAAGAACTGCACCCATCTCCAGTGTGGGTGCCAGGACCAGTCCGGGTGCTGAGTGCCATCCCAACAGCCTGAAATGACCTAGGGAGTGACCCACTTTAGGGACAGGCCAGCAACCCCCTGCTGGGGTTGCAAAAGCCACCAGTGTGGCCTTGGTAGAGGGAAGTGGTACCTCAGTATGCTGGAGGAGAACCCCAAATATGTCAGGGAAGGAGTGGAGTTAAGAATAAGGCATGCTGACCCACTTCATTTGGGTTTCTGAAATGCTCCTGGGAGGTGACAGGGAGGGCTCCCTGGGGCAGCACTCCTGACACTCCCCACCCCACCTCTGCTCCTCACAGCTGGCAGCACCCCCGGTGTCATCACCCCAGAAAGAGAGCCCCAAGGGCAAGGAGTCTGCTGCAGCACCAAGATGCAGCGGGCGCAGCGGCGGGGGAGCAGCCCCTCTCCTTGACCTGAGTCCTCTGATAGCCCAGTTCAACCGGGAGATGCTGCAGGTGAGGCAGCTGGGCCCTCTCCCAGGGTCTGTGTGGGAAGTGCAACGGAGGGCCACCGGCCGCCTTTCATGTGAGCTCTGGGGTGGAGTGGGGTGCGCAGCAGGGAGGGTTGAACTCCCAGCCCGAGCACAGCCATGGTTGTGGCATGAGATCATGTTTGGCTGCCGCTCCCTGGCTGTCAGCCCCAGGGAGAGGGGGTCAGCCCACACCAGGGCCCTGCTTCCTCTCCATGTGCGCATGCTCCTCCCGTGCCCCGTTCTTCTCCTCCTCCTCTCAGACTCTGTCCCTCCCCAGCAGCATGGGAACTGAGATGGTGGGAGGGCTGCTTCCATGCCATGGTGGGAAGAATGCATGGATGTTTGCACTGGGGAGCAGGGTGCAGTGAGGAGAGATGCTTTGTGCAGGGATGTTCTGTGCAGACTGGCCTGCTTGGGCAAGCCCAGCTTCTCCTGCTGGGCTGAGAGATGCTGGAAAGAAGTGAAGTGCTACACACCTTCACACCCCCATTGCCACAGATGCTGTCCTGAGTGCTGTGCTGGCCTGTTGATCCCCAGAGCTGAATGGGTGCACTCCAGTCCCTGTCACAGCTGTGGGAAGGTTTGGGTTTGGGTCCCGATGCCGTGTCCTTGAGGCTCTGGTGGAGGCTCCAGCCACATGGCTCTTGGTGTGCTGCAGGCAGAGAGCTGGGTGCGAGGCAAGCTGCGGGACCTGAAGGACGGCTGTGACCTCCAGGACTGGGAGGAGGTGGCCCAGACCTTGCAGAGGGACATGAAGGATTTTGAGAACACCCTGATAAAGCTCAATCAGGTGGGGCCAGGCAGGGCATGGCGTGGCGTGGCCCCCGTTACTCACAGCACCTGTGTCCCTGCGTTCTCTGCAGCAGAGGGTCCCTGGGAACCCCCTGGTGCTGAGTGGGTCCCTTGGCCCCACAGATGGGCGAGCAGCTGATGTGGAGGGCAGGCCCCAGTGCAGAGGCCGTGCGGAGGCAGCTGCTGGCCCTCCAGGAGCAGTGGCAGCTCCTGAAGCAGACGGCTGCCAGCCAGAGCAAAGCCCTGGGCGGACTGCGGAGTCTGCAGGACTTTAACAGGAAAGCTGAGCGGCTGGAGGCATGGATCAAGCACAAGGTTTGAGGGATGGGAAGCATGGTCTGGGGAAGGGGATAGCCTGGCTGTCCCCCCACCTCCTCACACCCTTGCCTGGCCCAGGAGGAGAAGCCCTCTCTGGCAGCCCTCCTGCAGGAAAGCCCAGATAAGATCCAGCTCACTCGCCGCATCCTTGACTTGAAGCAGGTGAGAGGTGCTGGGGGACTGCCAACCTGTCAGGGACCCCAAACACCTTGAGGCTGGGGCATGGCACAGGTCCCTGAGGAGGGATGCTGATGTCTTTCCTCTCTGCTCGGACCAGGAGGAGCAGCAGTTCCAGAGTCTGCACAAGGAGCTGAACAGCCTGGCCCAGAAGCTGGAGAAACAAGGCAAAAATGAGAGCAGAAACATCTCAGCCCGGCGCAAGCACCTTAACAAAGCGTGAGTGGTGTGAGGACACATGGGCTGAGCAGGGCTGAGCCAGGCACCAGGAGCTGACCAGATGGGAAGTAGGACACCCCCAAACTTCCTGGCCTAGCTCTGCACAGCTCCCCAGACAGGCACAGGCTGCCATTCACCTTTCCCGTTCTACCTGCTCAGGTGGCTGCGGCTGCAGGGGACCCTGAAGGAGCACCATGAGGCTCTGCAGCTGGCCCTGGAGGTGGCCTCCTTCCTCCAGCAAGCAGATATCCTGCTCGGGGTCATCCATGCAAAGGTATCTGCACTGGAGCCAGGGTCACCCTGGTGTGTGGGGCTGTTGCATGGCCTGAATGAAACTTGGTGGCAGCACCTTGCTCTTGTCTCCTGCATGGAAGCTCCTGTGGTCCCAGCACACTCAGCCTGGGCTTTGGGGAGAGAACCAGGGGATGGAGAGAGGGAGCCAGGCTGGCAAGTGCAGTTTTGCACTGTTTCTTTCTGCTGGAGCTGGAAGCAGGGCCCTGTCCTCCTCCCACTGCTGACCGTGGCCTCTTCTTACAGCAGAGCAGCATCTGCAGTACAGGGAAGCCAGGGGAGGGCGAGCCTTGCCAGGATCGGGATGTCAGGGACATTGCCAGCCAGGTGATGGTGAGTGAAGACTCTGCCTCGTCCCCTGAGCCCTGGGGAGCATCCTGACAGGGGGAATGTGAGCCTTCCCAAGCTCTGCCACCAGCAGCACTGTGGGCTCCGGGAGCCCCCCACTGTGTGGGTGGCTGAGGCTGTGTGATGGATGGGGCAGTATCCCCGGGGCAGACAAGGACTGGGATATGCACTCACTGCCTCTTCTGCCCCTAGAGGGCTGGCTGTCATCCCATGCCCTGCCCGTGGCCATGGTGGTTTGTCACTCATGAGCCCCATCTCCATCACTTCCCCGCTGCTCTCTCTTCTCCAGATGCTGGATGTGACAGTGTCCCAACTCCTAAACTTGCAGCCCAGCCTGGCAGCCCGAGTCACCTCAAAGCACCGAGACGTAAAGGAGAGCTGGGCGCAGCTCCAGCAGGCACTGAGGTAGGGCTTAGCTGGGTGCCAGCCCTGACCTCCCAGCACTGGAGCCAGAGGCTTGGGAAAGACCTAGGTTAGCCCCTAGCAGGCTGACTCTGGGGCACCAGCTCCACTCAAGGTCTCTCTTTATCCTTTGCTCCCCTGGGCTTCCCTTGCCTTCCTTTCCCAGGACAGGGAAGGCTCCAGCACGGGCAGGCAGTTCCCCAGGGGGCAGAGCTGCAGCTCCAAATGTTGAGCCTCGAGGAGACGACAGCAGTCACGGGGCTGTGGGTAAGGAAGCAGCAGCCAAATGGACGAGAGGACTTGGCAGCATGGTAAGCACTGGCTTCCTCCAGGCATCTTCAGCTCCTCTGCTTCGAAAAGACAAGGGAGCCTAGGAGAAAGGGGTTCAGGTGTTGGGCAGAATCCAAGCTGAACACTCCTGGATCTGGTCCCAGCAGTTATGGGAAGTGATAAGTGCCAGCCCAGGGCAAAGCAGATGTATGCTTTGTGCTGGCCAAGGAAGAATGGGAACCTTTGTGCTGCAGGTACCAAAAGATGTGCTGGAGAAGATGGCAGAGAACAAGAAAGGAGAGGAGAGCAATCCTGGCTCCCCAGCAGTGGGACAGTCCCCTCATGGAGGGGACAACAAAAGGTACCAGCTTGTGGAGGTGGCTGTGGGAGGACAGGGTCAGGGCAGAGTCAAAGGGAACAGGGATGGGGTTCCCCTGTGCAAGGGGGAGCCTTGCAGTCCTGACTGTCCCTCTCCTCTCTCTGCTGGAGGAGGAGAGAGGCAGAGGCTGAGTGGGGGATGCGGCAGCTGGAGACCCAAGTGCAGGACGTCTGCCAGGTGGTGAACACGGTAATAATGTCCCCCCAGGAGTCCCCTTTGCTCCCTGCCCATCCATGAGGAGACCGTGTTGGGGAAGGACTCACTTCCTTAACCTCCTCCTGCTGCTCGTGGGCATGCAAGCTTGTGCCCACACGCCTGGTCTGGGCACTAACCCAGCATGTCTCCTGCTCCTCAGCGGGATCTGTCCCCGTACAAGGAGAGTGTGGCTATGGGAGTCCCCCCATGTCCAGCGGCGAGCCTGGAGGCAGCACGGATGCAGCAAGAGCCCAGTGCCAGGGCTGTGCTCCTGGTGAGCCTGCCTGGATGTGAGGTGGGGGAAGGACACCAGGTGGGGCCCATCCTGACTGCCCTCCCTGCCTCCCAGGAGGGACCAGCACGAGGGAGGCCTCATGGGAGCCCTCAGGTGGAGGCCATGCTGCAGGAACTGGAGGAGTTGTGGGAGGACCTGCAGAGGAGACACCAGGAGAATGGCGTGGTGCTGCAAGAAATCGATAAGGTACGTGGAGTCAGGGCTGGGAGGGCACAGGGTGTGCTCCAAGTGGAGCAGCTTGCTGGACATCACCAAGTGAGGCTGGCACCTCTGGGGCCTGGAGATGCAATACTGGCACCGACATCTCCGGCTGGCCTTGCAGAGGGCACGCTTCTCCCACTGTGCTGCCTGTGCCCCAGGTACCCCCAGTGGGATGCCAGCATGGCTCCTGCCTCCTCTGGGTGGCTCAGAGCCAGGCTGAGGGGTTCCCTGCTCTCCCTGAAGGCCCTGAGGCTGGTGGGGGAGCTGGACCAGGCTGAGCGGTGGCTGCAAGACGTGGCTGGGTCGCTCTTGGAGCCAGCTGCCATGAGAAGCCCGGCGGAGCTGCGCCAGGACCTGGAAGAAATGAGCCGGCTGGAGAAGCAGCTCCTGCTCTGTGGCCTCAAGCTGCAGGCGCTGCGGGAAGAAACAGCAAGCGAGGCACCCACTGAGCACGAGGGGGCATGGAAGATGCAGAGGAAAGTGGAGATGGTGGAGGAGAAGTGAGTCCTGGAGGAAGGTGCCTCTTCTCTGGTGCCCAGGTTGGGTGGGGAGGAGGATGCTGTCGCTGAGGAGGTGCAGAAGCTGCCGGCACCTCTGATGAGCACCCATCCCCACAGGTTGGCACACGTGCAGGCAGCCCTGCGGCACCGGGCAGCAGATCTGCGGGACTCCCTGGTGCTGTCTGAGTTCCTGCAGGACCTGCAAGAGGAGGAGGCACGGAGCCAGCAGGGGTCTGCAGTGGTGAGCAGGGTGGCCAGGCATCCCTTGGGATCACACAGCACCTGGGAATGGACCAAGGGTTGATCTGTGGTTGGCATGGGGCCCCTGTTGGGTGCTCCCCTCCAGCCCAGCTGCCCAGGGTGTCACTCCCCATCTCTCACATCTGGTGTTTCTACTGGCTTCAGCCAGGGAGTGGGCGCTGCGGCTCGCAGGGGTGTTTTCCCCCGCTCTCAGCCCAGGCTGAGAAGTCTCCAAGCAGTGAAGACATGAGCCGGCCCTTGGGAGAGCTGCAGGAGGCTGTGGAGATGCTGGATGATGTGGCGAAGGAGCGGGAGCGGGTCATGGAGGTGGCAGCAGAGACGGAGAGCCTGGAGCGTCTGGTAGGGAACGGAGGCTGGGACCTGGGGATGCATGCAGGAGGTTCATCTGCAGCCAGACATGCCAGCTGATTGGACAGGGCACCCACTTCAGCTGTCCTCAGTGGGACACAGGGACATTGGGATTCGTGGGGACTGCTCTGTGCAAGGCTGGCATCCTTGTCTCTCCCATGGCTGGCACCTGCCCTTTGCACCGGCATGGCAGGGTGTCCCAGGCTGGGGTGGGCTGGGGCTGTGTGGCAGGTGGGGCTTCCATCCCAGGGCTGATCTCCCTCTGTGTCCCCTCCTGCCCACGCAGGTGGCAAAGATATTCCCACAGCTGGAGGCCCTTCAGTGCAGAGCCAAGGCGCTGTCTGAAGACATTGCCCTAGCAGAGAAGGGCTTCACCACAGTGAAGAGTGAGAAGGACCTGCAAGGGCTGCAGGGCTTGCTAAGCTGCCAGCAGGAGATGGAGGTGAGTCAGGGGAGCACTGCCAGGGAGGTGTCCCGGCTGGCTGGGGCTGTCCCAGTGAGGCACTGGCCCCCCTCCGGGGGCCCAGGAGTTGTAAGCCTTGGCACACTGTGGCAGGGCGGGATGGAATTTTCCAGTGGAGCTGAAACCTGCCTGCTCTGCTCCCCTCTGATAGCATGGGCCAGGCAAGGGGACAGAGCTTGCATCAGCTCCACGTGCCAACACCCAGCTGCCAGCACCTACTCGTCTTCCCTCTGGTGGGGAAGCGACTCATGCACTCAGGGCAGGGAAGCCAGGCAGCTCTGTGCTTTTGCTGTGCTCCCCACTGAGGCTGGCTCTGCCCATGTAGCAGCATCCTCTCCTCTGTCCCTGCATCCCAGAATGCAGGAGAGTGCAGCCTGGGTTCAGAGGGGTTGGATGCATCTCGAACCTTTCCTGCCTTGTGATCTTTAGCATGCAGTGTCCCAGACCCTGCAAGGGCAGCTGGAGGAGCTGGAGAGGGCGGCTGCCCGCTTGCAGGAGCTATGTCCCACTCGGCAGTGCCCCGTCAGCCAGGAGCTGCAGGAGACGCTGTGGGCCTGGGCAGGGCTGCGAGAGCTGCTGCGGGAGACCCGGCTCCGCGTGCGGCAGGCCAGCCAGCTCCGGCACTTCTTCAAGGATTACTTAGCCATGATGTAAGTGGCAGTGAGTTGTTGGGGTTGCTTCTGTGGGGGTTGAGGGGGAGTTGGTGAGAGCATGGCATTGGCAGCTATGTGGGCAGTGCTGGAGCTGCAGCCAGGCGTGACCACGGGGAGCCTGGAATGCAGGGTTGCACCACAGCTGTCTGTTGTGAGGCGGCCCTGCAGCATCTCATCCTGCCCCAACAGCCTGGCCACAATCCCAGGGAGCTGCTTCCAGCTATCACTGAGCATGGGAATGGCTTTCCTGGGGCCTGCAGGGCTGGAGAAGTGTTGGGTCATTCCTCAGCCTGTCTTTCACATGCTCACAGCTCCTGGACTGAGGACACCCGGGCTCAGATCTTCTCTGAAAGCCCAAGCAGCTCCAGTATCCCGCAGACTCCATGTGAGGAGCTGGAGAGGAGAATTGAAGAGAAACTCAAGGAGTTTGAGGCACTAGCAGCAGCAGGGCAGCAGCTGGTGTCTGAGGAGCACTACCTGAGTGCAACAGTAAGGACAGGGGGAATGGGGTTGGGGGAAAATTCTCAGCACTTCCTGAAGCCCTCTGGGGACAGACCATGAAAGAAAGAGCAAGGTGTGGGTGCAGAGCCCCAGTAAGTGGGATGGGGACAGCTATGCATCCCTGGGGCTGCTCAGGACAGGAAGAAGTTTCATCCAGTAGATCCTGAGATCTGAGTTGATGTGGCTGTGGCTGTATCCCACTCACAAAAACCTCCTAGCTGCTCAGCTGTGAGATATCCTGGTAGGGCCAGTGTCCCTGAGCCAGGAATCCTTGCAGGCTGCCCAGCATCTCTCCTCCCATCAGATAAAGGAGCGCTTGGAAGAGCTGCAGAGCATGCTGGGCTGGGTGCTGGTGCGCTGGCGAGCACAGAGGCATCAGCAGCAGGATCTGGGGAGCAGACAGGAGGACAGGAGGGAGCTGGAGAACCTCTCAAGCACATCCCCCACTGGTCAAGTGAGTACCCAGCCATGTTGAGACTGCCAGGGAGAATGACCAGCCTTGAGGCTGAGGGTAGCAGAGGCACTGGATGGAGACTGTGGTGCAGAAGGTGGGGAGGGATGCATGCCAATACCTCTGGGAGTTGCTGGGGTTCAGGCAGGGCAAAGGGAAGGCTATCCTGAGAAATTGCCTGGTACTCCAGCAGCCCTTCCTTTATGTTCCTTCTCTTGCCTTGCTCTGCAGGAGCAGCATGCCTCACGTATCCCACCCCACCTGGAAAGCATCCACAGTCCAGTGAAGTTCATCCCCTCCTCCCTCCTCGAGCCTGTGCAAAGATCAGAGCCAAAGCTTCCGGAGAAAAAAGCCATCTCCCCACCAACATCACCCCTCTCAGATGCCCCGTCAGGAGTGGGGCAGAGCTGGGGGGAGCCCAGCAGCAAAACAGCCCTTGATGTGGAATCCCCCAAGGAGGCTGGCACCTGGGATCCTGCTGAGACCTCCACGCTGCTGCTGCCACCTCGAGGCTCCTGTGGTCTCGGGGGCACGGTCAACCTCATCCTCAGCATTGGCAAGAAGGGGGAGAAGAAGAAGGCCCAGCTGCCGGCCAGCAGCGAGCGGCCAGGCGAGGAGGCACTGCCAGCGGTACGGGGGGATGGTGGGAGGCTTGGCAGAACCATGGGCGAGCAGCCACACAGCCAGGACAGCTCTCTGGAGCTGTGCTCCATGAAGACTGGGAGGGCGGCGGGGTGATCCCCAAGCTGAGACCCCTCTGACCATTACTAAGTGAGCTGCTGGCACTGTGTTGGTCTCAGGAGAGGGGCCTTTGGCCATGCTGATGCTGCGTGATGCCTTAGGGCTGAGGCCGGCTTGCGCCACCCACTTTGCCTGTGCTCTCCTGCTGCAGCTCCTTGCCCACTCTGTCCTCTCTGTGTGTCTCTTTCTCTCCCCTTGCTCAGCTCCCCGCCACTAAACACTCAGGCTGTAAAACCTTTTGGAAGCGTTGCCAGGGGCTTTTAGGAAACACTTGGGGTAGCTTAAAGCGAAAAAGAAAGCCACCACGCCAGCTGGTGGAAGAGGTAACGTCTCGGGGGAGGCTGCATGCTGGGCAGAGTGGCTGCATGGTGTGAACCTGCCTGCCACCAACCCTCCTGGCCAGGCCATGGTGCCCTGGTGGCAGCGGTCTGCTGGGAGAGGGAAAACCCTTCTGATGCTGTGGGGTCCAGAGTGTGGGTGCTGGGACATGTGAGGAGGGGACTGAGGCAGGGCTTGCTGCACTTTGGCCCTCCATTCAAGTAGTTTTGGTGGCCGTGGGAGGTATGGCTAGCTGGTGGCCAGTGGGAGAGCCTCCCTGCTCCATTGCTGGGGGGCAGGAGCAGTTCTTGTGTAGCCAGCTGAAGGGGACAAGGGTGGCTGGGGCTGTCTGAGGTGCTCATTTTGCTAGGGATCTCACTCCAGGTTGCTCAGCTTGTAACTCTGAGGTAGGAGCTGGAAATGTGTAGGGGCTCACAACTCTTGTTGCTCCAGAGCCTGTGTAAGAAGGTCTGTGTGTGAGGAGCCCTAAGGGCAGCCTGGTTCAGTAGCCCAGGGGAGAGGGCAGGAGGACAGGGAGGCTGGAGGGCACCGAGGCAGAATGAGGGGCTGCTGGGCTGCCAGGAGAGTTTTGGTAATGGGCACCGTCTGGCCTAATGGATCCAGGGGAACACTGCTCCAGCTCCTGCAGACTCTTGCAGCTGTGGAAGCCCGGGAGAGGGTCTGCAAGGAACGGGAGGGGAGGGGTTTGCACTCAGTCCCTGCCCTTGCATTCATTGCTTTACTGCCTGGAGCATGCAGGGCTGGCAGGCATGGACTGCAGTGACTGCTTTCTCAGTAGCCACCCAAAAGTGATGGCTTGGAGGTCAGCAGTGCCAGGGAAAAGCTGTGTGGTAGTCAGCCCCAGCTGTACCACACCTGGGGGACTCCATCATGGGCAGATTCCCTTGTCTGCTCTACCCTGCCTGCACCCGTGTGGGCGCAGCCCTCAGGGGACTGAGGTGACGCTCTGTCATTCCCAACACTGCATGTGCTGCTGGTGAGCATTTTTGTCTGCCTGCCCTTGCAGCCCCCTGCTTTCCCAGACGCAGCATGGAAAGGGGGCAGCTGGCACAGGATGGTGGAAGCTCCAGCGATGGGGATCACGCCTCTCTCCTTCTGTTTCCCCAGGTGCAGGCGGAGGCCAGGAAAACCTGCACGGCAAAGCGGCCGCCCGCCGTTGTGCGGCGCCCTGCAGGGCCCGGCGGTGGCATGGCGGCCGTGTCCCACACGCTGCCCAAGGCCGGCGCTGGCTGCCTCTTCAACAGCCTGCAGCGGCGGGAGCAGGCCCGGGCAGAGCAGGCCCGCCTCCTCACCCTGCGGGGCATCATGGGCGACAGCTCCCTGCGGCCCACGCCCGAGGAATGCCACGGCCCCAGCAACACGTGGCCTCAGAAGTGTGGCTGGAGGAAGGGGGGGCCGGGGGCCGCTGCCGCCGGACCTCAGCTTGGGGAGCTGCTCCTCTACGTCAGGAACCCGCTGGTGCAGGACATCGATGCCGAGTGCGGGGCGGCCCCTCAGAAACCCTGCCTCCCTCACCCAAAAATCACATGCCCCCGTGTTTCTCTGGGCTCCGTGCTCAGCCTGGAGCTGCCACGGGATGCAGCGGTCCTGGGCTGCCGCCGAGGGGCTGAGGCACGGCAGCAGGAGGCAGAGGGGCAGGAGCAGGATCAAGGGGTTCGGTCGTGGAAGCTCACAGGCACACAGGGAGTTGGATGGCAGGAAGATAGGCACAGTCCCCAGGGGCCCAGCAAGAGGCTGGGGATGTCCCCCAAGGGCGAGCAAGAAAGGTGGTTCGAGGAGGTGAGCTTGAAGCCCAGCTGCAGCCAGCAGAGAGCACACCGTGCTGGGAAGGAGCACTGGAGCCCGCAGCACCCCAGCAGCACCAGTAAAGACCTTCTGGACTTGAGGCTGAGCCGGCCATCCCGTGTCGGCATGGGGGATGAGCTGGGCACCCGCTTTGGCCAGGACGACAGCCCCACTGCCTCTGGCAGGGCCAGGCACCACAGAGCCGCTTGGCTGGAGCTTGGATCATCCCCTGCCAGCACCCCAGGCAGGGCTGGAGTCATCCCCAGCCCTGCCTGCACACAGCAGCCAGCCAGCAGCAGCCAGCCCAGAGGGTCCCCGGCTTCCCCTGCTGCCCCCACCCAGCTCTCTGTCTTTGAGTGGGCACTGGGCTCTCCACAGCCCCAGAGCCCTGCACTGGGCACTAAGGAAGTGTGCCACCCTGCCCACAGGCAGTTTGAGGAAGAGGAGGAGGAGCTGCAGGCCATCTGGGATGGGGCACAAGAACGCCAGAGCTCACCAGGAGGCAGCTGTTCCAGCCACAGGATGGGCAGCAGGGCGGGCAGCTTGGCCAGCCCCAGCGCCACTGCTGGCGGGCCCCTCATCCTCTCATCAGCCAACAACGTGCTAGTGGCCAAATTCACCCTTCCCACTGCTGCCCAGCTGCTCCACAGCCCCTCAGGAGAGCAGAGCCCCGGGGTGGTGCACAGTGGCAGTGGCAGTCCCAGTGGGCTCAGGGTTTCCCCCCATGAGGAAGAGCTGGTGCCTGCAGCCCCCTTGGATGCCTCCAGTGCCTGGGATCAGTGGAGGCATCGGCAAGAGGAGAGCAGCAAGGTGAGATCCGCATGCCAGGGATTCTCCTTCAGGGTCAGGTAGGGGGCTGGGGAACAGCCAAGGTAGCAGCTGGGTTATCCACTCCAGCAACCATAACCTGTATCTGGGGACTCCCTGACTCCAGTGGCCCCTTTTCTTCAGCTGGTGGGGAAGGGCTAGGTGTGGTATTTGGGGTCCCTGCAGCACACACACCCCCACCAACCCATAGCCTCAGCAAGGTGGCACTTCACCCCCCAAAGCTGACACACAGCCCAGCCCCTGCCCAGGTGAGGAAGTTGTTCCTCATTGTAATTCCACTGCCACTTTGGCATCGCTCACCAGGGATGGGTCATATAGACCTCACGTGCATGGAGGCTGAGCTGGCACCACTAGCCCCAGAGAAGTTTCTGCTCACCCTCTGTGCCCTTGCAGGTCCTGCCTGGTAAAATGGAGTTTCAGATGATGGAGGGGACGCTGGAAAGGAAGCACGTATTGCAGACAGGAGGGAGAAAGGTACAGACATGGCTGTGGGGCTCTTTGGGACAGGGGTGCTGGGACATGGCAGGGGGTGGAGAGAAGCCAGGGATGTTCCTGGAAGTGCCACAGGAATGCTGCTGGCCATTCTGGAAGGGCACAGCCTCAGAGGCCCTGGGCCACATTCTGAGCGCCATGAGACCATCTGTCTTCTTCCAAAGCTGTTGGCATCACAGCTGTGCCCTGCTTGTGTCCCACAGGCCAGCTGCCGGGCCTGGGGCCTCTTCCACGCCGTGCTGATGAGGCAGACACTGTGCTTCTACCAGGACCGCAGGGACAGCCTCAAGGTGCCCTGGGGACATTGGGGTGACAAGGGAGGGGGCTGGTGGCAGGGTGGTGGCTCTGGGCCTGTGGCCAGGGAAGGCAGAGCCATCCAATCCCGCTGTTGTCTTTGCTTTCCCTTGTGCTGCAGAGCTCCGTGGTGGCCCTTCCCCTGAACCTCTCCGGGGCAGTCTGCACCCCAGATGCTGAGTACACCAAGAAGACCAACTGCTTCAGGCTTCAGTGAGTGCCCCATGCAGGGCAGTAACCACAGCCTTCCCAAGACTGTCCCTGCTGGGGCAGACACATACCAACATCCCCAGGCAGGACCAGCTCAGTGCTTAGATGAGGATTTCCTTCCTTCTTTCTCACCTGCTTCTCTTCTTTTCTGCTCTGGTGGGGGCTGTTGTATCTGCACCCTATATTGTTCTTCCCCTCTCCCTCTCCCTGCAGGCTGCAGGATGGCTCTGAATACCTCCTGAGGGCCCCCACCCAGTCCCTCATGAACGAATGGGTCTCAAAGCTGCAGCAAAACTCAGGTGAGCAGCCCTGGCAGGCGGAGCAGGGGTCCGGCTCTCTGTGGTTTCCATGTTTGTTCAGTCCTCGCTGAGCCTTTTGATACATGGGGGGTCAGAAGAGAAGCAGCACAACATTTTACTCTGATTTATGCATCCTCCTAGCCTGCCTTGGGAACAGCGGTTCTCTGCCAGGCAGGATTTGGAGGCTTTGTTTTCACACCACATACACAGCTATAAATCAGGAATAGCACAACTGACGTCAGCGGTGCTTCAGCAGCAAAAAGCCAGTGTCAGGAAAATTATAATTGTGCCTTGGTATTCCTCCATATCCGCTGGGCTTGGAAAGCCTTGCTTGCCCTTGAAGCAAGGAGACCTGCAATACTGAGGTCTTCCTGTTGCTGTCCCCATACCTGAGGAGTTCCAAGCCCTGCTATGAAATCCTAGGTCGGTTGTCAAGACCAAGAGCAGGTGCTACAGCAGGAGGTTGGGGGAGCCAGCCATGCAGCATGGGCAGTCAGGTCAGGGACTGGCTCTGTGTGGCAGTCCTGTGCACTGCCAGCATCCAGAGGATGTTTGCTGTGCCCCCAGGTTTCCCCAAAGTGGATTACTTCCAGGCAGCAGCACAGCGTGTCGAGGGCACTGGTGGTACTGGCAGGTGAGTAGCCAGGAGCTGGCCAGCTGGCTCTTGGTATAACTCTATCCCACATCTCCCAGAGCGTGCTGCTCCAGCAGGACATTGGTGGGCCAGTCTGGTTTGCTAAATCTCTGCTGCTTTCAGTTCCAGCAAGGTCTCCAGCACTGGGACCTCCCACCTCCAGGGACATCACCAGGTCACCGCTCCCAAGAGCCAGGAGATTGTGGTGTTACCCTGTGCAAGCCCACTACTGCAGCGGCCTCTGGGCAGCCAGGATGGCCCACTCGATGGGACTGTGACAGCAGCAGGTGACTTTCCTGTCTGGCTGGGTTGCCACTGTCCCCCAGCTTCTCTCCCCAGCCCAGAGAGGTACATAGGAGACAGCTGAGGGAGGCTGAAGGCTGTTGGTCAGTTCTGAACGTGGTGGTATCTGGGCTAGTAGTCCCAGGGCTTGGGACGTGGGGAAAGGAACATTTACTTCACTTCCTGGGATACTGAGATAGTCATACATTTGCCTCTTCTCTCTGGGGCTGACACAGGGCTGTCCTGTGATGGCCTTGCCTTGTGACACGTCTCCATTCTGCCTCAGAGAATGCTCAGGGGGCTGGGCACAAGGAGCAGCAGTGGCCATCCAGAGCGTCCCCTGGGCTGTGGGACAACATCTGCCCAGAGGATGACTACGGGCTGGTGGCCAACAAGAGGAGGTCCTACTCCTTCACCTCAGGTACAGTCCTGATTTCTCTGTCACAGCCAGGAGGTGGCACCACTGCCTCTGTCCCCACAGACAGCCAAGGATCAGATGCGATGCTGCTCCAGCACGCACCTGGTCCTACATACCTGTGCCTTTGGCTGCAGCCCCCATTTGGGGAGGGCTCTAGGGGGCTGCCAGGGCCTACTCCTCGCGCTGACCGCTCCTTCTTGCAGCCACGTACCAGAAGCTGAGCCCGCGGGCGGTGCCCCAGGAGGCGGCGGGGGCTGGGAGCAGCTACTCGGTCACGCTGTACATCGGGGAGCAGGCTGTGCCCCGGGCACGCTGCCACTCCTTCGTGGCACCAACAGGGAGCCCCCGCGACGCACGGGGGGAGAAGACCACCAGCCCCCCTCGCACCAAGAACAAATCTGTCTTCAAGAAGTTCTTTGGGAAGAAAGAGTGAGTCCCAGACAAAGGGAGAAAATGCCCTAACCTGCCTCTTATCCTCCTCTTGGGCTGCTCTGGCATGGTCTCTACTCTCAGCAGCAGTTCATGGCTCACTGCCTCCCCAGGGGCAAGGGGCTGTGCCAAGGGGCTCTGCTTCAGCCAGCCCTGAGGCTGCCCTGTGCCCCAGCCACTGCAGCCCCCAGCCTCAGCCTGGTGCTGAGCACCCCTCCTGCCCAGTGCTCTCCCTGGGTGCTGCCGGCTCCCTAGGCATCCTAATGACACACAGCACGAGCAGAGGGGGGTGCATGATGGTTTTTATTAAAAGATAAATAGACACTTAGTGTGGAGCTTTTTTGTCCAGCAGCATCCATCAGCACAGCAGGAAAGGAGCTCTGTGCAAGGTGGTCCTTGCTAAGGAGTCCGGGGAGCTTCAGAGGAGGAGGGCCCTGCAGTGAGGTTCAGTCCTGCTTGGGGGGGGGAAGCCTGAGCTGTTTGGTGCCTTTCACAAGGATGCTTTGTCCCGTGCTTCCTCTGTGCCTGCACTCAGCCCAGCTAATCCCACAGGCTATCTGGGCCCCTTTTCCCTGCCCTGGGAGCTTAGCAGGAAAGTCACTACCTACAGAGTAAATACTCCTGCCTGCACAGCCCTGCCCAGCCTTGCTCTCTCTCAGGATGGCTGCCAGCCTAGGTCACAGCCGGTGAACACTGCCTGACACAGACTGGGGCAGGGGTGTGTGGATAGACCCCCATTCCTACAGCCCAGATATTTTTGCAGTAACTTCACCAGACCATGTCCCTTTCAACTGCCCCAATTGCCACCTGTACTGGAAAGGGGAAAAAGCAGCTGGTCCAACCTGCCCTGAGCCTGTACAAGCCCTAAGGGAGAAGGGGAAGTTTCCAGGGATGTAGGTAGCAGGGCCTCTCCCTGTCAGGCCGTGAGACTCAGCTGTGCACACCACTCGCCTCCTCAAACACATTGTGGGGCTTAAAATAGAAGTGCTGGCTGCAGCCCAGCTCTGCAGCAAGGGCTGGGAGAGCAGAAATGCTCCTGCCACCCCATCTCCCTCCTGCAGTGCTCCTGGGGCTGGAGACAGGCAGTGAGGTGGAGGTGGGCACACCAGGGTTACCAGCCTGGACTTCCTCCAGGTTCCCAGCAAGGGGTGGGGAATGTCCTGGTGTGGGCAGGGGGGTGCTTTCTGAGCTTCCCCTGTGTCTTGGCTCCATCACTCTTGGCTCTGACACCTGTTTTCCTCCGGCACCAAAGCTCAGCTGCCTGCACTTCCTTAATGGGAAAAGACAAGCAGGATGGTAAGGCTGGGAGGGGAGATGCCCTGGGCAGGGGCCAGGCTTGTCCAGACCAGCGAGGAGGTCAAGGCACAGCATTCCGGCTCCGGCTGCGCATACCAGGAAAGCAGCTGGTGGGCTGCTGCCAGTTCATTCCTGAGCAGCTGCGGGGCCCGGCACAGGGGCAGGGGGTGCAGGGTGCTTCACTGAGGGCCCCCCTGCTGGCCCCAGGGCTCGATGCTGACCCATGGGAGCTCAGCAAGGGTCCCACCATGGCCCAAGTCCAGCACAGGAGCACGGGGTGACATGTGCCACTCAAGAGATAACACCATCCCAGGGATGATGCTGGCACCTGCAGCACCATTTTCAGTCCCCCCCTCATACAGGCTTCATTGTCCCCCTGAGGCTGCTGCCAACGCAGAGCTTCCCCTCTCTCCTCCCCTGTGCTGGAACTTGGCCCCACAGCAACCCGCTGACGAATCCTGCCTGGAGTTCCTATGGCAGAAGCCAATTCCTCCCCCCCCCCACTAATCTGCCCGTGCATGCAGCCTCCACCTGCTGATCCAGCGGAAGCCGTGCTCAGCCAGCCCCAGCCAGCGCCAGGGCTCTAAAACCCACTCCGGCTGCAGAGCCCGTAAGGTGGCAAAGCCTTTGCACCCTGGTCCTGCTGCCGTGGGAAATCCCAGCCCTGCTCGGCACCAGGCAGCGAGGAGTCCGCAGGCAGCATCACCTGGCACCGGGAGAGCTGAGCTATCAAGGTAAGGGCAGGGTGCAGGCAGGGAGGTGACCTGAGTAAGCACTGTCCCTGCCGTGCCTTGTTCTGCCGGGCACCAAGGAGAGGGTCTGGTTCCAGCCTCCCGCGCTGAGCCAAGGTCTTGTCCCCCCTTTCGGCAGCTCGGCGGTCCTGCTCAAGGTCACCCTGCAGCCGGGAGCCTGTGCTGAGCTCTGGGGCCGTCACACGCTGAGGGACCCCAGCCCGGGTCCGAAGCTTTCTAGTCCCAGAGCTGCAGGGAGGGGTCGGAGCCTGACCCCTGCGCAGGCGGGACTGAAAGCGGGGAGCAGCAGTGGAGGGGCTGCCTGCCGGCACCCTGCCCTCCTTGCCTAGGCAAAAGGACAGCACGGCTATGCCCCCCTCCCAGGGCAGCAGGGCCAGCCGTTTGTTCCAGGAAGAGGGGAGACACAGGCGGAAAGCCAGAGCACCGGACATTCCTGTGCCGGAGCTGCGGTAGCGGGGCCACCCCTGCAGCCTCCCGCTCTCAGGTGCGGCCGGTGCATCTGGGAGGTCAAAGCGGGGTGCGAGGGGTGGGGCACGGCGGGGCCGCGGTCCGGCGGCCGCGGGGCCGAGGGCAGTCCCGGCCCGCCCGCGCGGTGCCCTTGGCGGGCGGGGAGCGCTAGGACCCGGCCTGCCGCGGCCGCCAGCGCTGGCACCGGGCGCCGCGGGACCGGACCGTGCCCTGCAGGCGGCGGCGCCGCGGGAAGGAGCCGGCAGCCCCCGGGGAAACGTGTAAGCGACGCGGCGGTGCCACGGCTGCCTCGGGTGCGGGTGGGTGCTGGGGCGGAGCGGGGCCCGGCAGCGGCGGCGGCGCTCGGGGCAGCCCCGGCGGCCGTGCGGAGCGGCCGTCCGGCTGTCCGACTGTCCGGCTGTCCGACCGGGGCTCCGACCCCGGCGCGCTGGGCCCCGCTCCTGCCGGGACTGGGTGCTGCTGCTTTCCCTTCCCCTCCCTCTACAGGACCGCCGCGGGACCGGGGAGCCTGTCCCGGGAACGCAGTAGCGCGGGGCAAGAAACGCTTCCCCTTTCGCCATCCCCCGAAACAGCCACCTGGGGACGGTGTTTGGTTACCCTGCCCATGGGGATGTCACCCGACCACTGGCACGGCCACCGCTTACTGGCCCCGTCACCCTTCTGTGTCAGTCCCAGCTTTCTCCGAGTGCTGGCTCCCTCCCTGCCCCGCCAGTCACACGTTCCTGTATGGCCTCGGGGGTGCCTGCGCCACGGGGAGCACCTCCAGGGAGCCCTCCCCGTTCTTGGGGTTCCTGGGGCTCTGCCACCGCTCACCTCCCTGCCAGAACAACTTCTACAACCCCATTGGCCTCTGGCAGGCCCTTTGTCCCAGTAGCTGGGCACTGTCCCATGACCCTTTCTATTTGTCGGCTGACCGCTGGGAGCTTGCCCTGCCCGCTTGCACCATTCCCCATGCAGGTCCTTTCTCCCCAGGCACCATTCCCGGGCTGCCCTCGGAGTGATTTGGCCCAGGGCAGAGGTCCTGGCTGCATTCTGAGTCCGAGGCATGGCCCAAGGCTTGTTTGGAGGAGCCTGACCTCGCGTGCAGGCAGAAGAGAGGTGAAGGAACAGACAGAGCAGGGTTTGTAGCATGGCTCTTGACCCACATCAGTCCAAATCAGTGGTGCCTCTCAAGGTCAGGGCACTGCTCTGCTGCCCCTGTAAAGGTCTTAGTGCAAGAGGTTAGAAAACAGGGTCCCCCACTGCTGCTTTTTGTCCTTATCCCTTCAGTGTCCTGGTGCTGCCCTAGGAAGGGAGGGAGCAGGTGCTGTAGGGGCTGAAATGGATCAGAAAATGTAGGGAGTGAGGGAAGCTGACACAGCTGGCTGGTAGGAGATAGTGAAATTTATTAATGGTCCTCTGGCTTGTGCAGGGGAAGTGATGGAGGATGCGATGGAGGAGCACCAGCTGTGCTGCCCTGTTTTCTGCACAGACGTATAAGAAGTCCTGCCATTCCCTGCCAGGAAATGCCCAGAGCATCCCTGAAGGCAAGCTGGATGTCTCTGGGACCAGCAGGATGGGAGACACCCAGCAGCAGTGGCAGAGAAGCCTGTCCTCCATCCGAGCAGGCAGTCCTGCCCTGAGCTATTACCAGCAACAAGACCCTGTAGGGCTCTCCAGAAAGCTAGGTGTTTGTGCAGCTCTTTTCTTTCTTGAGAAACCTGCTTTTCTGCAGAGAACCCAGCACCTCTGTGACTGCAGATGTAAAGCAGGGCCAGCAGCAGCACTGCTGGGAACTGCATAGCAGCTCAGCTCTGCTGTGAAGCTTCCCAACTTTACCATCCCAGGACACAGCACTAGCAAAAGTCAGAAGAGACCTTCCCACCTGCTTGCATCCTCTGGAGATGGCAGATCCTGTGTAGAGAGTGGAGAAAGACAGGGGGTTGGTGATGTCTGCAGCTCCTCCCCAGAAGAGGGATCTTTGTTGGAAGCCAGCCACCCCTATTGTCCGGGCTGACTTTTGTCATCTGGCTTGCCAGAAAAGAGATTTACTGGGTCTGGGGGCAGTGTTAGAAGAGCAGGCTGTTTCCCTGGAGACTGAGTCCCTATCAGCTGAGGATGGATGTACAGGATAAAGCCTGAGGCCCCGAGTCCTTGGGAGGGTAGTGCCAGGAGCCCCTCTTGTCCCTGAGGCACTGGGTCCCTGGCACAAGGCTGCTCCTGGATATCTCACAGCCCAGGAGCAAGGAGAGAAGAGGCAAGCTGCTTTTTGAGAAGTAACCTATGCTGTGTTTTGAGAAGTAACAGGTGCACTTCAAGCCTTTTCCCATCCCATCCCTGTGGAACTTGGGGTTCTCAGCAGGGGACCAGCCAGAACTCCTTCCTCTGTGGCCTGCAGCTGAGCAGCAAGCACAGCCCGGCAGGACAGCTACCGTGCTCAGGGTGACTGTCACAGTCATATGTCCTCATGTGATCCATCCTGGCCCTGAAATCTGCTTCTCAACACTATCCCTGCCCTTCTGCACAGTGTGTTACCTGTAAGCAACCTCTGCTTCTTTAAACCACCTTCAAACAAAAAGCTCCTTCTTCTGCCTTTGGACTTCCCTGCTTACTCCCAGGTTTCCCGTCTCCCACTCATCCCCAGTCCTTCCATGGGTTAGCACAGCACACACAACAAGCCCTCACTTCGGCGTGCCCTGTCCCACTTTGTGCACTTGGCTCCCAGTGCCGTTTATTCCCCCATCTCCCTGCTGCCGCTCACTGCCTCCTCATCCTCCTGGTGGATGAGAATGCTCACCCTAGTGCTCAGGGCCGTGCCTGCCCTGCCCGAGGGGTGGCTTGGGATGCCTCTCCACCGTGGAATGCCAGACCCTCTCCTACCAGCCGCCGGCTCGCCAGTGCTGCCCTCCCTCCACGCTGCTTACTCACGCTGGCTCCCGTATTCCGCGGAGCCGCTTAAGCCCGCGCCCGGCTAATTCCTTCCCCGTGCGCTCCCCGTGCGCTCCCCGTGCGGTGCTCCCGGAGCGCCCTCCCGGTCACGCCGCCAGGCGGCAGCGCCGGCCCGCGCCCGCCGATGAGTTTGGGGGCTCAGCGCCGAGCCGGAGAGGCCCCGGAGCCGCTGGGGATGGGGCGGCTCTGCAGAGGGAGTGGGAAGGGGCCCGACGCCAGCGCCTCCCCCAGGGACAGGCGAACGCTGCCGCGCTCCCCGGCAGCCCGGCCGCGGGGCGCTGCAGGCTCCCAGCCCCTCGTGTGCGGGGTGCAGGACGCCCCGAGGTTCCCTCCTCCCTGGTCCGTGCTAGAGCATCCTCTGCCCACCGGTGGACACTCGGCTTTGCAGAGGGGCTGAGGAAGGGGGGGAGGGCAGTCCCAGCGGTACCCTGGCAGCTGGGCTGCTGGTCATGGGTTTGGCCTGCCCTTCTTTTGATGTCCCATGTTTGTGCTCCACTGGGTGGCCTGGGGGCCTCGTTTCGGCCTGGGAACCCGCGGAAGCATGACTGGCAAGGAGCAGAAATGATGAACGGCTGGTACTGTTGGAAGCTGTGGGAAAGGGCTCTCCTGGAGACCTCCCTGGGGGATGTTTGGGACCATTCAGCCGCAGCTCCGCTGCTGATTCGCCCAAAGGGGAAAGCATGACTGGATGGACTTAGTCTCCAGACAGGATTTAGTCAGCCCTGCCAGACATTTGCACAGAGCGGAATTCCGCCACGCCAGCCAGCAAATGTCGGGCCAGGCACGGACCAGGGCTGGCATGGCTGGGAAAGCTCCTGGACCTGTGTTTGGAGCCCTCATCTCTGCAGGTGGCTGTGTGCCATGGTCCGTGTGGTGCCACGGAGTGACCACAGAGACTGCCCAGGGAGCAGGCTGGCTGGGAGAACAGGCAGGCACCTGGGCCCTGCCCTGCCAGGCAGGGTGGGCACACTCTGGCTGCAGCAGCATCCCCCAAGAGCTGGAGCATGGCTCTGTCTGCTGCCACCAAGGTGCCTCGGGGAGGCTGATGGGGAGCCATGGCTTCAGGCTATCCTCCAGAACTAGCATTCACCCATCCTACAGAAAGCCACCCTGTGCCTTTTAGATGGTTCTCAGAAACCCTGGGAGTCACTGGGCACCTGGCTCCACTGGGCTGTGGATGGACTTTGTCAAAGGGGGACCGGGACCACACACAGGTGCCACCCCTCTTCCTCTCACCAGGTTCCCTGGTTCCCAGCAGCGCACAGCTCCCCTGCGGTGTTTTACAAGTGTGGCTGAGTGCCAGCCACTTCTTTCTTAATGGCTGTGCTCCATCGTGGGAGACTGGTGCTGCCAGTTAAGGAGGAGGATATGCCCCCGGCACTGCTTCAATGGGCCAGATGACCTTGGCTATAGAGTGGCTCCCTCTGCCAGCACCAGCTCCATCCTCAGCCAAGGAGACCTGGAGTGACACCATGACAGGGTGCTTGGAGTGGTCTGTGCCCTGAATGCCACAGGGTGTTCCTGCCTGCCGCTGAGCCAGGGGTTAACCCTGCCTCCCCTGGTACAAGTGGGAGCCTGAACTGTGTGTCTTGAGTTTATCCAAGTCTCAGCTTGGGCCCTGGCAGGTAGAGACTGCCTGCAGTGAGGTAACACTTCACCCTTGGCCCTTGGCGGCGCAGCTGTCACTCAGTAACTAGCACCCAGCAGCTCAGCTGCTAATTGGTACCATTAGTCAATATTTATTCCCTTAATGCTTGTAGGAGAAAGCAAATGGGCAGCTGGAGCTCAGGAGAGGGCAGCAGCAGTGCAGGGAGGTAGGCAGAGGGATGGAAGAGGGAAGGATTGCTCGTGGAAGGATTGTGCCCAGGAGATGGTGAGGATGGGAGGCCCTCAGATGGGCAGAGGGGCTTGTGTCCCCCTGCCTGACAGCAGGGAGATGTCCTGTGTCCCAAAGATGCTGCTGTTCCACTGGGCAGGCTGCCCCCGCCTCCAGCAGCCTGAGAGGGGGCTGGAGCTTGACTGGACCCCACTGTGCATGCCAGGTCCCAGGAGCCCTGTAGGCACCGTGGGCCCCTTGCTGAGCTGTGTCCAATCAGTGGACAATGGGATTTGTTTCTGCTTGCCCAGCTGGAAAACACCCATGGCCCGGCCACTGGGCTGGAGGCGTGTGGAAGCCCTTCCTCGTCATGTCTCCAGACCATTTGCTCACCAGGGCTGTGAGTGCTTCAGATGTCACCACATTGCAGCTCAGTGCTACCAGCGAAGGGTGATACTCAGCATGGGGAGGTGGCAGGGGCAGCAAGGGCCTCTGTCTCCCCTGCCTTTCCTGGCAGGGTTTCACCCAGGGCTGCTCTGCTGCTGCTGCTGGCAGCGAGGTCCTGCTGCCCTCAGGCCACTAGTGAAGAAGTCACAGGCAGCTGCCTGACTTTATTCCCGCAGGTCGAGCCGTGCAAGGAAGCAGAGGGAGGACGGGATGCTGGAGGTCTGCGTGGCTCCCTGCAAGCGGTGATGTGCCAGCTGGATCTCTGTGCCACAAGCAGAGTTCGGGAGGGTATCGCAGCCCGCTCCTTCCCCAGCTCATCCCAGCAAGGGTCAGGCCA